TGCGATGCGGTTTCTTGCTTCTCTGATGCTTCTTGGTTGGAGCAGAAAAATGTTTGTGGTATGGGCTGGATTTTTAAAGATCCACAAAAGGTGGTTATCCAGCAGGGATCCTCTTCTCGACCCTTTGTTGCCTCAGCTCTTGTAGCAGAGGCTCTCGCCATGAAAGCAGCGATCACGGCGGCTTTGGCTTTGGGTGTTTCCAGGTTAGCTTGTTTCTCAGATTGTCAAGTTCTGGTCTGTCTACTCGCGGCTGATGGACAAGCTAACGAAATATATGGCATTTTAGAAGATATCAGAAGGTTGTGCTCTGGTTTTCTATCTTGCACATTTCACCATGTTTCTCGTATGTACAATGCTGAGGCTGACAGTTTGGCTAAGGCGGCCTTAGCGTCAAGTTTGTATCCTCCTCTTGGGAGTTGACTGTTTCGTCTTTTTTAATATAAGTATCGTTTTCAAAAAAAAAAAAAAAAAAAAAAAAAGCTCATATATCTATCAAGATGAAACCTGAAGAGGAATTTTAACGGAAAGTTATAAAAGTTCTTTAAAGTAACTATTTTATCAACTTCTCATTTCATATAAGATTGTCTCTATAAAGATTAAGAGTTTTACAAATGAAAATAGTACAAACGCAAAGCAATAAAGACCAATTCATCTTCACATTGCTTATTTTCTTAAAATAGCTTACTAACATGTGTTTTGTTTCATCATTAAGCAAGAGTCATCTGTTAACACAATCTATGGATAAAAAGGTAAGTACACAATCTATGGATAAAAAGATAAGTAAGAGAAAAAAAATTTCAAATGGTTTAAGAAATATGTGTCTATGAATGATATAAGTCTTCAGAAAGAGAGCTGGCAGATGGAGAGAAGGTGACATGCATCACCGGAGCTTCGGGTTACATAGTGTCTTGGATTGTCAAGCCTTTTCTCCTCAATAGCTACACCCTCAATGCCACCGTTCGAGTCCCAAGTTTGTTCTCTTCTTCTCTCTTTCTTTCATTCCTTCTACTTTTCTCCAGGCAATTTTTTTCTGTCCCTTTTATCACCAAATTTATCTAGATGTTTTCTAGAAGTATATGACACTTAACAAAAGAATATTAACATAAGCAATCGACCACTTAGATACAAAAAAGGACTTTGTATCTTATATGAAATTACTAAGAATGTAGAAACATCAAAGAAAACAAAAGAAAAGGCTAAAGTTTCATTAAGACCTCAACACTATGTCAAGAGTCTCTTCAAATCTCATGTTGTATTGTTTTCATGTACGCAAGATCGTCAATTGAAACACGCCATGCAGTACGGTAAAACATCTCTAGAGGTATGCAAAATAAATGTTTTGCTAGATTAGAATTCAGAGGGATCATTTAGAATGAGAAAAATTGTGGTTGTGGTAATTGTTGAGTAAGAGATAGTTATTTATAGAGGAGATACAGTAGCGTCGGTTTCAGAATATCTTGTAGAGCAAGCAAAAGAAATCATAGATACGAATCAAAAATTAGAATGATCCACACATGTTTGAGGTAAGATTGCAAAATTATTATATAACAAAAACTATATTCTTGTTAACACATTTACGTTAGAATGTTCTAGATGTTTTGGTTTAGGCTATATTCTGATATTCCAATATCTTGAGAATATGCTTGTTGTTGTTAGTTTACAAATCTAAACAAAATCAAAATGCAATTATCAATTTGGTTTTCTTTTTTTTGTAGGAAAATCTTGCCAAAAGATATATTAACAACGATTGACGAAAATTAAGGAAAATCCGAACTCAAGATTTGCGGTTTACCACAGATTTTATTTAGGAAAATCTCAATAATTTGGATCCGGATTTTTGTTTGTTATAAATGCATATCTTTACTAGTAACTACATATATATACAAAATCAATCATTTTATTTCGTTAGGATTTTTTTTAGGAAAAGTCTCAAATTATGTGGATCCGAAAGACTTATTTTCGGGTCAAAATCCGGATCAAAATAGCATTGTAAATTGAATATTTGATTTCCATATCTTTGAAACTCAAATCTAGTTAACTGAAAATTAGGAATGTTTTGTGAATTAATTTATTGTTTTGTGAAATTTGCTTAAGACAATATTTTTGTCAGATTATTTTTGTAGGGACTAAATGTACAAATACGAAATTGTAAAAGATTTTTTGGACCAAAATCTTCTCCAAAAATATATATATAGATACTAATTCTATACTTACCAGCATGTATCTAATCTGTTTGATCTATGTATATCTGTTTTTAATCCGTTTGATCCGCACTGTACGATCCGCTATGAATTCTAATCAGGGGCGGACCCACATTGGTCTTAGGTGGGATATTTGCTCCATGCTAAATCTAATAAATATTATATAAACTAGAACTATGTAACTCAAACACACAGTTAGCTTAGGGAACAAAGGAAAAACAGTCTACTTTCCCACGAGAAGTATCACATCACGACAGATAGAGCCCAATCTATGATCACGTGCTAGATGTCTCCGAAAACATATTTCTCAACTTATAACCCTCTGAATCCATAGTTCGAAACCTATATCTCTCCAAAATAATAGTTTTTCACCTAAATATCCATAAATTTTGGTTTTACTCGGTTTACTATTTTCTTAACCAACTAATGAAGATACTTAACCGGATAAAACTTGATCTAAACCAATTACAACCTAATTACAACTAATTACCCGACCCTAGAAAAACATCCAACCCAACATTCTTCCTCACCCGATTAGTTCTTCATTTTCTTCTCTCCGTTTTTTTTTTTCTCGTTTTGTACTACCTTCATCTAATTCCAAATCAAATGATCATAAGATTAAATATGGTAAAACCCTTGTTCTAAAAATCGGCCGCCTAGCCGCCTAGGCGCTGATCGGAGGGGCACTGCTGCGATTTTGTCCAAATCGGTGAGAAAAATCGGAGATCCAATTTTTTGTCCGCCTAGACCGCCTAGGCGGCCGCCTAGCCCAATTTTTTTTTTTTTTTTTACTTTTTTTTTATCTAAAATTCAAAACGTCCTACTTATGTTTGTAATTTGTATAAAAATCATAAATTTGAAATTAAAATCTTGTTTTCATGTGTATAATGCAATTTTAAAAACAATATTATATAAATTTCTTAATTATAATGGATTAATATGTTTTTAAAACATTAAATAGCCCTAAAACTAATTTCCGATTAATCCCCGTGTAATCCCCGATTTTCTTGCTAGGCGCTAGGCGCACCCTAACCGCCCGACTAGCGCCTAGCGATTTTTTTAACACGGGGTATATAACCAATTTTTTTTTTTAAAACCTACCACCTAATCTTCTTCTTCCTCCACCATATCACAAAAACCAGTTAACACAAATCTACTAAGAAATTGTTTTCCTCATTTGACCCAGTTTTGACAAAACTCACAAGTCATCACTCCGCTATGAACCTCCGAGTAGAACCACCGGAGAGGAAGATGAGAAAGTCAAAGATTTGTCACCACCACCTTCACCGGAGACGAAATTGCCTTGAATTGCTTAGCCACAATCTCAAGACCGTACTACTCAACATTCTCAATCATTTCCAAGAGCTTCGGCTCAATTTTCTCTTCCACTGAGCTCTACGCAGCCACATCTCACCTTGGAATTACCGAACAGTGTCTCTAAGTCTATCAATGGGATCGCAACTATCAGTTTCCCCAATGGTTTACACTGGTCTAACGCTAATTGAACCGTACCCGACTCCATGATTAAGAAGAGGAGTAAGAAGAAGAAGACAATTGGACAGTTGTTGGTTCCCAAATTTTCCTTCTCTATCAAAAGCTACCGTTGTTGTTGCAGGATGTGTTGTATACTGTTTTTAATGTGAACTTTGATTGATTTTGCACTTTCAGAGATCAAAGTCCTCACAAAAAGAATTTCTTCACCTCTTTGTTTGTATGTTTTTTTTGGGTAGCTTCATCGTTTCTCTGTACACTAAACAAAAGTTTGAATATCCGAATTGTTTGGTTATTAACATTTTTTCGTTTGAAAATATATTTATTTGGATTTGGAAGGAGGAGGAAGAACGATGATGAACATGGAAGATTTTAGGGTTCTTAAATTTGAGAATTTGGGTATTTAGATCGGGTCGGGTTTAAAATGTTAGTCGGGTTTTAAATTTGGTTTCATATCAGGTTTAAGTGATTTAATATCGGTTTAGTTCGTAAACCGATTAAATCCAGATCTGTGGAGAAATAGATTTCTATCAATTCAGAGGAATTATAGATTGAAAAATATGTTTTCGGAGACATCTAGCACGTAATTATAGCTTAGTGGTTTTACATCCTAGTTTACACCACATCAACCCAACTTCAAGACACACCAACGTTTTGTTACTAATGGAATAATTTTCTTATAATTTTAATATAATTTAATTAATTAAATTATGATGAAAAAAATAAACTAATTAAATTATATTTAATATGTATATATATATATATATATATATATATATATATATATATATGTGAAAACCCCTTTGGCTTATTAGTTGACAAAAAGTTAATTAATGCTTCTACACCAAGAGGTCTGGGGTTCGAGTCCCAGATATTGCGATTTATTAATAAATTTGCAGATTAAATGAGGCAAGTGTGCATGAGATCTCCAGCGAAGTACAATTATAGTCGTTCGCCAGAATTCTACGCAGAGAGAGAAGTGTCGTCTGTCGTGGATCTAATAAGGGTCGGAAGGAATTGTCCATTGTAAAATCGTCTATATAACAGTTATAATAATTTAGAATAGAATAATAAATTTAGACGTAAAAATATATATATATATATATATATATATATATAGTATTTTAAATAGAATTATTTTCTGGATCTGTTGAGGTTTTGTATAAAAAAAAAAGAGATGGAAATGACAAAAGGAATAAATACGATACTTCTCTCGATCTACCTTACTTCAATGCCAAAAGATCTAGTTGAGCATTGAGATTGACACGTAACCAATTAAATACCTCCACGTAATTACTTCCTGAAAGTGGATAAGAACCATTCTTTTCGATCATCAACCGCTCTATTTCTGCAAAAAAACATTTGGGGGTTTTTCATTAGGGTTTCTGATTATTGCAATTCCAATCTGAAATCTTCGATATTTCGATCGTCATGGATGATTGGGAGATTCTTCAGTGCTCCGATACAGAATCAACTGATTCGATCACATCGGTGAAGAAATTGGAGTGTGTAAGTCTAATCGATGACGGTATGATTCTTTCTGATCATTTCTCTGCTACTGATTTGAGTCACTACGGTGTAATTGAATCGGGTGAGGTTGGTGTTGATTTGGGTTTTGATCAGTTCAATGTTAATCAATCTGGTGTTGATTGTGTTAGAAATGAATTAGGGGTTTATGATTCGGAAACTCGAATTTTGAGTGATTTTGAAGTTGCCAACGTTGAGAGCAAGGATGTTGCTGAATTAACTGATGCAATTAAGAGATTTTCGGAAGCAGACGGTCTCGAAGTCGTCGCTGATGGAAGGCAGTCTGGTGTTGAAGAGCCAATTGAGGATTCGAGCAAGTCGTGTTCTGATTTAGGGGGATGTGAATTGGTTTCTGGAGATTCTGGGGTTGTGAATGGTGAAGATGAGATTGTTTCTGATGGTGGAGTTGCTTCTAGTGAAGCATTTGAGGGAAATGAAGGGAATATTAGAGAAGTTGTGGCTGCAAATTCTGATGATGAGGGTAAAAGTAGAGAGACTGTGTGGTGGAAGATGCCATTTGTGCTTCTCAAGTATTCGGTGTTTAAGATTGGTCCGGTTTGGTCCGTCTCTATGGCTGCAGCTGTGATGGGTTTGGTTCTCTTGGGACGCAGATTGTATAATATGAAAAAGAAAGCTCAAAGGTTCCATCTTAAGGTTACAATTGACGAGAAGGTACACATTATAATCATTTTGGTTGAAGTTGGTAAGCTGGTCTAGATTGATTCGTTTTTGGTGTGACTATGTGAGCTACACTCTATATTGTGTTGATGCAATTGGTCTGACTTGAACTGTAGAATTTCAAGTTTAGTTCACTGGTTGTCCTTTCCTGGCTTAACTTAGATTTTGTTGTTAATATATTCGTATTGGAATCAAGAACAAAAATTGCTTAGGCCCCGCAGAAAATACTGAGATTTGATATTTTCCCTTATCTTACACTTACAGCTCTTTTACCTGTTATTTGTTTGGTGGTGTTTTCTTCTATCATTATCACGTCTTGGGTTGTTTATGATCTGTGCAGAAGGCGTCGCAGGTGATGAGTCAGGCAGCTCGACTCAATGAAGTGTTCACAGAAGTAAGAAGGGTCCCTGTGATCCGCCCTGCTCTACCATCTCCTGGTGCATGGCCGGTTTTGAGCCTTAGATGAGAAGCCGTTTCTACAATACCTATACACAGTGGAGAATCAATCGTACAATGTGCATCACTTTATGTATCGTAAGAAAACAAATCCATGTGTGTTTATGTCGTACCTATGCATAAGTAGTAGTTTACCATCTTATGAAATCGCTCATGTGAGTCGTGTCCCTGCCGTGGGATACACTGCAGAGTGATTACAGTAGCGATTTATGTATGTCCAGAGACTGAAAATCCCAGTTGGTTAGCCTTTTTATATGTTTGATCTTAAGAATATCACAAGCTATGTGGGTTTTGTTATGGATGTCATCGGGGTTTGAAGCTTGGAAATGAACATAGAGACGAGAACAATTCTCGAATCGCGATGACATAGTCCGAAGTCGATAAAACCGCTACAATGGAAATACTCTGCAAAATCATACTTTCGCATATAAATTGTTGTTGATACCACAAAATTTGAGCATAAGCTGCCGGCCCGAAGTTATATGATGCCTAAAGCAAAACCGAAAAATGTTGCCCTTTATAAAAAAAAATTTAAAACTGCCATTTTACATGTTACTTGAAAAAATATTATATAAATTTAAAGTATACTAGATTTTAATCCGCAGTACACCGCGAGATGATTTAATTTTAAAGTTAGTATAAAAATATTTTGTAAATTGTATCTCCTTATAATATATTTATTTATATCATAGTTTACAATTGTTATTAAGTAACAATATACCACGAGTCCACGAGACAATTATTAATAAACTGAGGATTTAACCCGTATTAAAGCGGTATATAAATATTGATTCAAATTCGTCCGCCATATAAATCTTTTTCGAAATATACCCGTTCCATAATTTCTTAACCTGTCACGTGATTTGTTTTTATTTTAATATTTAATAATTATTTATTATATATAAAAGTTTACAAATCATATCATTCTCTAAGACATTTATATTTTAATAAACTAAAGATTTAATATGTATTAAAGTGGCATGTTAACGATATTTTAAAATTTTATAAATATTGTTATTAAGTAATATTATACCAGATGATAATTTTTGGTTTTATACAATCTTTTCTAAATGAGACTGATTTAATATTTCTAATAATTGTGGTATTAAAAAAAAGGATTTAATCCGCATTGAAGCGGCGGATTAATGATATTTTAATCTTTTTATTATTGTTGATTCAAAAATCCGTCCCGCCAAACCCGTCCGGCCAAAATACTCATTTATTTTATTAATGTTATTATTTATGATATGATTCTGAATCATTGTCTAAATATTTTAATCGATGTAGAACGTTGAACACACATTTTCGTCAATTGGATAATATATGTCCGTTTTAAAAATTTCGAATCACAGTATATGCAGAAAAAAAAATGATTTTTTTTTACTTTATGTATTATATGATGATTCAAAACAGTTAAAAACAAATAAAAAAAAGATGATATGAGAATCATAATTATAAATCTTAATCAAATCTTCTAAATATCTAAATTATTAAATATGGAATATCCGGTATATGAGTTGGGTTAAATATAACCCGACCCAACAAATTTTTTGTGAAGAAATTTTAAAAATGGGTCGGGTATCCGATATATCCGGAATCATTTTTACCCATCCGTCACCAAAGTGTTGCAAAAATACTAGTATAGATATGAATGGGGTATAAAATGTAACCAAACGGTTTATCACTATATCAAATGTTCAAAAATTTGTTAAAAACTTATCAAATCAAACGTTTACCGTTGGAGCACCAAATAATCATTTGCTTGGCAATGTAATTAACGGTTTATTTGGAATAATTATGATCTTTACATATTTTATACTAAAAATAGTTTCTAGGTACAGGAAAAAAATTGAAATTATTCTAGTAACCCATAATTTGTTTTTTGTCAATTGCATATTACATATGTCTCACTAAAATGTATATGGTGGTGAACTGGTGATATACTCAAGTCAAATAAAAGTGATCCGACCCCACGTAAGTAATGTTATCGATTTTTAAAATATTTTTGTCATTAATACAGCTAATAACTACTAAAATTAATTATTTTCTTAAAAGACTTTTTTCTCTCTTTTATTGTTCTTCTCCTTCGGACATCTCTTTTCTGTTTTCTGCAACCCTCTTCTTTCTTTTTTATTCGTCATCTATCAAAAATCTGAAATTGATGCCCCTTAAATTTTTATTTTCACTTGCTGCCTAAAGCAGTTGCTTGCCCAGCTTTAGCTCCAGACCGGCCTGAGCTTATCTCCACAACAACCACACAAAGGTTATGAGATTAATCAAGCAAAAAATTGCTTTTTCTCTTGTCGAAAACTGGCTAAGCCCATTATAAAGCCCAAAAGCCCAAACTTTATAAATGCTCGGCGAAGCCTTAATTACTTCTCTCCACCGCTCAGAGTCGCAAACTCTTTCACTGCCGGAGATAATTCTCTTCTTCCCCAAACCCTAAAGTACTCAGCTTTCCCTAAATTCCTCGCCGGACGATTTGTTTCCAGATGGCGGAGGAAGAGGTTGTTGTTATCTCTACGCCGCCTGTAGATCTCAAGCGAAAGCTCGACGAGCAACATGCCGGGTCGAATGGAGATATCGTGGTTGATAGCAATCCAGTATCTGATTCTTCGCAGGCTAAGCGAGCGAAGCTCGACGATGAAGCTCAAGATGGTTTAGGTATTTCTGATTCTTTCGCTTCTTGTAAACTAAAGTTTTGATTTTTATGATGTTTTAGGGTTACTCTTTTGGCTGAAGATATTTCTTTGAGTTTGTGGACAAATCAGTCCTTTTTAGGGCTCAATGAGACTGATTTTCTCATTGTTGTTCTTCGGCATTTGTTATAGATCATGGGAATACACAAGAAAATGGTTCTTCAATGGAGGTAAAAGAGGAAGAACAGCTTCAGGAACCCAAGTATGAGAATCAAGATTCTGTACCACTTGTTGATGAAGTTCAAGATCCCATTCATGCCAATGAATCTGAAAATAACACTTGTGATGTAGCTCATGCAGCAGATGATCATGTTAAGCCTGAGGATAACCAACAGGGTTGTATTGAAAATAATAATGTAGAAGAATGTAAGAATGTCAATGGTGGTGAACCTCAGAAGGAGGTTGATGAAGAAATTAAGGTATTGAATGATGGCAATTCTCAGAAAGAAATTAAGGAAGTGGATGGTGAAAATTCTCACAAGGAGGTTGATGATACACAGTCAACGACTCGCACCATAGATGTCCCAAATTCGAAGGTGATATGATTTGGTTTCCATTTTTGACTATTCTGTAAGTATTTTCCACTGGAATTTTTTCACTGACGTGCTTATCACAATGCTTTGTAGGTAGGTGTGCTGATTGGTAAAGGTGGGGAGACTATACGGTATCTTCAGTTTAACTCTGGTGCCAAAATCCAAATTTTGAGGGATTCAGAAGCTGATCCGAACTCTGCGTTAAGACCAGTGGAGATAATTGGAACTGTTGCATGTATTGAGAATGCGGAGAGGCTTATCAGTGCAGTCATAGCAGAGGTTAATAGTTGTTTTTTTTTCATTAGATTTGGCTTCTGTAAGATATTTGGTTACAAGAATTTCTTCTGGTACTACATTAGGCTGAAGCAGGAGGTTCACCTGCCCTAGTTGCGAGGGGCCATCCTTCCACTCATGCGATAGGGATTCCAGAACAGATAGAGATTAAAGTTCCAAATGATAAGGTATTCCCTATTTTATTCTGTCTCGCATCAATTTAATCATACCTAATTCAGCTTCAACTGACAGGTTGGTCTGATTATTGGCCGAGGTGGGGAGACAATTAAGGATATGCAGACAAGATCTGGAGCACGCATTCAGGTGCTTACTTATATATAATGTTAAAAATATAAACAGACTTAAAGTATTCAAATTTTAGGACACGTTTTCTTACCTCGTCTCATACTGTGACAACTGATTTTAAAATTTGTTGTGTAGTTAATACCACAACATGCAGAAGGTGATGGATTGAAGGAGAGGACTGTCCGTATATCTGGAGATAAGATGCAGATTGACATAGCAACCGACATGATAAAAGATGTTATGAACCAGGTTTGTTTCTGATACTATGCTCTAAACAATGCATGTGTTCCCATTCATTCTTGAGTTTGGTTTGTTGCTATCATGTGCCTGAAAACTCTTTCATTTATGAATGCTACATATGTTTCATTTCGTCTTTAGTGCACGGTCTATCTGTTTGGGATGTTATATTATTGATATGGTGGTGCTTGTTATTGTCTTCAATTTTACTATGCATATACTTTGTTTGAGCTATTAGATATGTTTGCATACAATTTTCCTACCATCTTTTTTAGTATTTGTAGGCACTTTTTGTTCGTATTGCTCTGTTCCATAACTGGCTGTACAGCCAGTTTGGAGGTCTGTTACCTGAATAATGTATTCATGTTGTGCTGTTTTATGCTGCTTTCGTGTGAATAATGCTAAGCTATGAAATCATTATTACTCTCCATCTTCTAGTACATATGGAAAACATATGCTGTAGTATATTGAGTATTCTCAACGATATCATCTCCTGGGGTCCTTGAATAGCTGCATGTTCTGTGAACACATCCTTAAGGATTAGTTGATCTACTGCTGCCATAAGAAGGTTAACTTGCAAAACGTCATGTGCCGAGTGTAACAATAATACTCATTTAAACCTGTTAAGAACATCATATGTTCCATCTCCGATGTCGGTTGCCATGATTTTTTTTAATCTTAAAAGTGCCGATTTCGAATTGGTGTTGGCTTTAAAAATGCAGATTTCGCTATTACCGTTCACATGGGATCAGCATTGCCTCGTTGGTGTTCAGTAGACTGATGTCTACAGAAGAAGGTATCTGGCATTGTTATTCAGGCTTGCAGGTTTGAGACTTAACAACTCCAGGACCAATACTTTAGTGTAAATCTAGTAGGCAGATCTTCATTTTCTGAGACATTTGCTTTTCCTTAACTAAATTCATTGAAGAAAGCTTTATCTGGAAAATTGTAGGCTGATGCACACTTAGTGTTTACCATTGAGTTTGGAAGTGTTATGTAACTCCATTTGCAACCTAGTGTAACAAAATTGCATAAGATATGCCTGAACTTACATGCAATGGCTAGGGGAGAGTGTAATGGGGAAGTTGCTATTGTAATGGGGCAGCTGCTATAATATGATATGAAGATCTAATTTCGTTTTTTCCAAGCATCTCTGCAGTTTCAATTATTCTATGGTACCAAGCTGAGGGAAAAAAATAATCTGTTCACTTAAAATAGTTTGGCATTTTATCTGTAAGATTAGAGCTGTCACTGCATTTTAAGAGTCTAAACGTGTGGATTTGCTTCTGAATGTCATGTGCACCTGACTGCTGTGATGAGATCCATTTTGTTATTGCTGTCTTGCTATGTTCTTTGCTCACTTTTGTGTAATTTATACAATTTATGATGTGCCATGGATTTCATCTTGTTTGTCCTAATAGAATCATATCCTGATAATATTTGTTGTTTGAAATGTTCCATCTTTATTGTCTCTGATGGGAAGTTTCATTGTTGTGTTTGTTTGTAGAATGCAAGGCCATCACCCTATTCCGGTTGTTATAATCAGCCTGCCTACCGACCCCGAGGGCCAGGTGGTCCGCCTCAATGGGGTTCACGAGGTCCTCATGCTCCCCACCCCTATGATTACCACCCCCGTGGACCATATTCATCTCAAGGTTCACATTACAATTCTCCCGGTTACGGTGGCTATCCTCCACAGCATATGCCTCCTAGAGGTGGATATGGTCCTGGTTGGGACCAAAGACCTCCATATTCTGGTCCGTATAATTATTATGGTAGACAAGGAGCTCAAAGCTCTGGTCCAGTTCCACCTCCTTCTGGCCATGTACCCTCCCCTGCCTTGGGTGGTCCCCCTCCTTCGCAGGTAAGTTATGGTTACAGACAGAGCCATGGCCCAGAGTATGGAAATGCTGCTCCTTACTCCCAGACCGGTTATCAGCAGACTTATGGGCAGACGTATGAACAGCCTAAGTATGACAATAATCCTCCAATGCAGCCACCTTATGGAGGTTCATACCCACCAGCAGGTGGTGGTCAGCCAGGCTATTCCCAAATGCAGCAACCTGGTGTTAGGCCTTATGGGATGCAACAAGGTCCTGTCCAGCAAGGATATGGGCCTCCACGCCCTGCAGCTTCTTCCGGGGATGTACCTTACCAAGGTGCAACTCCTGCAGCAGCACCATATGGCAGTACCAACATGGCTCCACAACAACAACAATATGGCTACACATCAACTGGTGGGCCAGTGCAACAGCAAACATACCCTTCTTATAGTTCTGCTCCACCATCTGACGGGTACAACAATGGTACACAAACACCTGCAACTGGTCCAGCTTACCAGCAGCAAAGTGTTCAGCCAGCTTCTTCAACTCATGACCAGACTGGTGCACAGCAGGCTGCAGCAGCTGGGTATGGTGGGCAAGTAGCTCCAACCGGTGGATACAGTTCATATCCAACAACACAGCCTGCTTATGGTACAGCTCAGACCCAAAACTATGGATACAACACAAGCTCTCAAGATCCTAACTACGGATATGGTGCAGCACCAGGAAGCCAAGCCGCTTATTCACAAGCAGCAGCTACTCAAGTAGGATATGAGCAACAGCCTGCAACTCAACCTGCAGGGTATGCAGCTACTCCAGGGAGCGCACAAGTGAAAACCCAATCGCCACTGTCCGCTTATGCTCAGTACGAAGCAAGCCAGGTTTACGCAGCTCCACGTTAAGAGAGGCAATATTGCAAAGTTTCTAGATCGCTTCTGGAGTCTTTAAGACGGTTCTTATTAACGTGACTCTTCTGCGTCTTTGACTCCTTCCCCTTGAGTGCTTCGTTATAATCACTCTTTTAACTTTAAGCTGTTGAAATGTTGCTGATAGTTAAGCTGTTATATTTATTTTCGTTGTTCCATGCTTCGAAAGATTTTGTCTTCCCAAACTTATTATCATGGTTTTAGATTTGTGATGTCTTATTAACAAGGTTTACATTTTCTTCCTCACTTAACAAGAAACGTTATGTTACTCACAAGACAAATAACGTATGATATACTGTAAATCAATTCGAGGCCTCTAGGCTATAAGCGGAGAATATTTAGGACGGCCTCGTACGTGTGTTGGAGACGGCTTCTATGTTCATTTCTCGTTGGTACTATTTTCACAAAACGAGCCACATCTTTGAACCCTTTGTGTTGTCTTAACAACAAATCACTTTCTTCTTCTTCGCCTTTCACTAACTTTTCCTTCTCTTCTCCAAAAGATTGTGTTCGTGTCAATGCCCATTGTATAGACCATATAGCAAGAGGTCTCATATAACACAGAGACCTGTATTCATCATTCATATTCCACGCTTCTGGTGTCTGAAATGAGCAACTGCACCAACACACAAATCCCACTTAACTTTTGTTTTGTTTAGTGAAACAGAAAGTGAACTTTTTATTATACCTGAGACCACGATCAGACCAAACAGCCTCGTAGATTCCACTTGCTGTCTGAAACCCTCTTTCTCTTTGCCCTTCTTGAATCATACAAGCTGCAACAGAGTAAGTAGTCCCAGCCCAAACCTCCTTTGAAACCAATGAGTTCGTGTCCACTTGTCCGTCCGGTGACATTCCGTTCACTGCCCCTCGTGTCCCTCCTTTCACTTTCATTACATTAAACTCATAGATCGTCTCGAGTGCTTTCTTTATCCATTCTTCTTTCGTTATCGGCTTCAATCCACAAGCCCTCGCATACCTGACAAAACTCGAAAACCGCTATTTCATTAGCGTTTGCGATTGAGGCTGAGAAACACAAGAACTCAGTAGTGAGTCTTACCATTGTCCAGCCAACTGATCAGCAAGAATCGAGGAGCTCGAGCCGCTACCGCTATCATCATAATTGAAGTAAGAACCATTCCATAGCTTCTCGTAAACGCTTTTCGCCTTTTCATACTTTGTATTGAAGTAAATGGCAACACCGTTTTCCCCAACAATACTAGCAAATGCAGACGCAGCTTGAAGAGCAGCGACCCAGAGACCGCCACAATAAGCACTAACTCCTTTAACACTCCAAGCATCGTATGTTTGATCCGGAAACCCTTCGTTTTCGATCATCTCGTCCTCGTCCTTATCGAACTGATCTAAGTAAGCAACTGCTGTGTAAACAGACGGCCAAACCGCTTTCGCAAAGCTCTGATCGCCAGTTGAAACCACGTCTCTGTAGACTTGAAGAACAAACTTGGCGTTCAAGTCTTTCCAACGATCCGTGTTAAAGAAGTTATATTCGTTTAGTTCAAGCCACGGATCGTTTAGACCTATATCATGAGGAACAGAACCAAGAAGTTTTCTAGGAACCCACTCACCGGAACTCATGATCTGTTTCTTGGTGGGATCTTGAAACAGAACTGTTGCTGCAAAGTCTCTTTGGATGCTGAGTTCGAGCTTAGGGAAGAGACTGAGAAGTGCAAATGAAGAATAGAAGTGAACGTCGTAAGTGTTGTACATTAGATACTCAATTCCTTCGAGGTAGATGAATTGCCCGATGTGCTCTTCCGCGTTCAAGGACTGAGGAGAATGAATCTGAGCACAAATCACATTGATTTTCTTGAAGAGTTCAGTAACAATGTTGTTCTGTTCTGTATTTATAATCTTGCTTCTTTCTATGCGTTCCTTGGGAGGCAAGCCATCTGTGGATAGTGAAAAAACAAAAGAGAATTCGATGAAATAGTCAAAATATTTCTCGAGTTGTTTGTTTGTATTACCTGTCCAGATAGTTCCTCCGGAGTTGAAATAGTATAATTCATTGAATAGAGTAACTCGGTACCTGAAATATTCATCGGTTATCGATTGTAGAGTAGAAGAGAAGCTTCAGGATAAAATAGAGTTTACCAGTCAGGAAGTGCAGTGTCTGAAAGAATAGGGCTTTGCCATGCTTCAATTTGAGACTCCCAATCAACATAATCTTGTGTTTCAAGAAAAAAGAAACATCATATGAGACTTTTTTGCAAGTAGAACCAAAGAACAAACCGATAACAAAAGAAAATTCCACGCGTACTCAGAAGAGCATCTCGAGCCATTTTCACTGCTGCGTCGCCTAAGTTGCCATAGAATTTTGTGTATCTTCTGTAAAGTATAAGTATTCACATTAGGTGAACATGAAACTATAAGGAAATTTGAATCAATAAGTCATACCTGTGGTAAGTCTTTTCATTGAACCGCACCTCAGGACAATCCCATGAGAGTGAAAACATGACAGTACGGTCACAACCTGGAGGAACCTTCACATTGGCAGCAATGGCTGCTCCAATGGATGTTCCGGGTCTCGAAGGTGAGCCTGGCTCGCTGTTTAACCCGTCAAATGATTTGTTCTGAAAGAGAATTCAAAAACATTCAGAGCTTTCTTTGAATAGATTTGGAAGAACGTTGCGGAAGAAGAGAAAAAAAAAAGATATGAAACCTTTTTAATCTCATCCCACATCTCTTTTGCTGTGATATCTTTAGGAGAATGACCAGAAACTAAGAAGCATGAACACTCAGAGACATGAACATCCTCTGTTTCTTGCGCTGCAATGGCGTAAGTAACTGGCGGGTGTCCATTGGACGTCCTGCAAGTTATCAGTGAGTCTTTTAAAATTTCATTCCATCACATTTGTAATATATATAGACACAAAAATATTCCGGAAACCGGCACTAAACCCCGCTTCAAATGGATTAAAACAGAGGAACTTTCAGTCACGTAAGGCTCAAGTAAAAGAAGTTTACTTGTGATGTAAAGCTATTGCATGTACTCCATCTCTTTCCCTAATGTATTACATCAAAAAGAATCAGTTTCTTGTGTCCGAACCAAAGAACATAAGCTATGACAATAGAGATTGAGATGTAGATTCTTACATCATTGTTGAGTTGAAGTGTTCTCCAGTTAACCCTGAAGCTCCTCCCACTGAGTTCTAAGTAAGCACACAGACAAAAATGGTCTTGAAAACTCAAAGATATGAAACATATAGATATCATTTTATTTGAGATTAGTATACCTCCCAAGTAAAGAGCAAAGTAACCGTTGCTTCTTCTTTTCCAAGATTAGTCACCTGTGAAACATTAGCCAAATCATACAAGTGTTATGATGCTCTGAGATAAAAAGAATATTCGTTTTTCTTCTCGGAATATTCTTACCGTGAAAGTGAAAACCGATACCGGAAGACTGCTTTCCTTGTAATTATGTGGTATAAAAGGCGAAATTTGGCGAGAAACTATTCTGAGTTCAGGGTCAGGCTCTGTTCTCCAAAGTCAAGACATTTTACTATAATCTTTAGCAATCATGAATCTGAAACATCTTGATCTATAATGAACCATGGTTAGATCATTTTTATACCGTTGTATATGGTCCAAGACCTCGGATACAGAGCATGATACATAGATTTGTACCCTTTCATGTTCCAGTCCCATGATTCTATTCCTAATTCCTCTGTTTTACCTCTACATAGATAACATAAGTTATAACCGTTATAATAAGCAACAAATTTTGTGTTCAAATGGTCCATGGAAAGGCTTACCTTACAGATTTTGGCTTTGTTGGGCATAGAACACTTGAGTAATTCACACCACCGGATCTCATAACAAAAACCTAATCATTATCAAAATGTAATCAAGAGGTATGTCTCTTTGTGATTATAAGTGTCAGGACAAGAGAGGCTTACAGAGAACTGGTTTGTGAGGATTGGAGCTTCTTCACAAACTTTAGGGAAGAGCTTAAACTGCTGAAATTCACCTTTGTAACTCCTTCCGATGCTTCCTCCGCTAAAAATACACGTGATTTCGTACTATTAACAACATTTCTAGAGAAGATCAACATGTTGCTCATAGAAAATTGATCTTTTTTGTTTAAGCATACCCAATTCCACCTAATGGGACGCCATGGTCGCCAGTTACATGACGCTTTTTGAAGATATCGTACATCGAAGCCTAATTAAAAATGAAAGTGATCAGAATTTGGTAATGAAGACAAATGTTTTTGAGAATATAAAGCAACTCACTCTTCCTTTTTTTGCTTCTTCTTTAGTGTGACTCCACAATCTATAGCCTATTGGAAACTTCAAAAAAGACAGAGAGAGAGATACAAGTTTTAATATACATACATCAAAATAAAATTTTGTCATTTTGATTTTAGCTAACTATAAAAAGAATGTACCAGATGAAGAACATCTCTTATACTCATCTTGAACTCAGAAGGGTTCTTCACTTTGCTGTTCAACTTCCGTTGCCACGTTACTTGTGGAAGTCTCTCATTTCCAACCTAATAATTTTCTTAATCAAAATTTGCATAACATGTATGAATTATATCCATAATCAAATAATAGTTGTCGTGTTTAATTAGTACCAAATGTTTCATGTTAATTACCAACATGTGACATGAGACAGGACATAGAAAAATTTGATATAGAAAGACAAAAACATTGTTAATACTACCATTTGAGTTTGAAGATCGGTTTCCATGTGACCGTTCTGCATAATGAATTAATAACTTAAGTATTCAAAAAAGGTGTTTTTTGTTGTTGTTGTTGTTGTGGTGGTGAAACAGAGAAAGATAATAGAAGCAGAACAACTACAATGTTACCAATTTTAACAAAAAAAAACTACAATGTTACCAATTAAGCTCGTTGTATTGTCTAATGCAACCTCCACTTGCCACTTGGTGTGTTATTTTAGTGTAGTGTCATTAGTATATAGAAATATTCCCAATTAGACCTCTAATAACCTTCCATTTTATTCGAGATAGACCATATTAGCTTCCACTTTATTCGAGTTAGGCAGATATATACAAGTATTTTTTTTCTTCATCTTTTGCTTTTTCTATGCTAAAGAATTTTTTAGCTTATTGCATGATTATGTTTATGTTAGTATTGGAACGTAGGATCTGAATTTCGAATTTATATGAAATGAACCAACAAGAGGTTAATTAAATTAAACTACAAGAAGAAAAAAAAGGTTCAAAGAATGAC